CCCCCAAAACCCCCTGATTTGACCTCAAATTCCCCATTTTTGACCCCAAATCCCCCATTTTTGACCCCAAAACGCACCGGATTGACCTCAAAATCCCCTGATTCGACCCCAAATGCCCCGATTTAACCCCAAAATTCCCATTTTTCTCCCTAAAATGCTCACCAGTTGTCATATTTGGGCAGCGGATGCAGCACCCCGTCCTCCTGCAGCCCCCTGAGCAGCTCCTTGCCCTCCTCCTCGGATCCATCGCACAGCAAAACTTCCCTGGGTCGGCACAACCGGGTGGCTTCCTCCACGAAATCCCGCGCCGCCGCCGGCAAAGCGGACAGGGATGTGCTCAGCCTGCGCCGTGCCAGCACCACGCTGCCAAAACCGGGGAGAAAACGGGGGGAAAGTGGGAAAAAATGAGAGGAAATTAAGCAAGATGGCCATTAACGCGAAATCCAAGATGGCCGACTGCCCACCAAGCCAAAATGGCCACCCACAGGAAGAAAAGATGGCTGCCAACAGGAAGCCAAGATGGCCGCTTGCCCACCAAGCCAAGATGGCTGCCAACAGGAAGCGAAGAAGACCAACAACAGGAAAGCAAGATGACTGCCTACCCACCAGGCCAAAATGGCTGCCAACAGGAAGCCAAGATGGCCGTCTGCCAACCAGGCCAAGATGGCCGCCAACAGGAAACCAAGATGGCCAACAACAGGAAAGCAAGATGGCTGCCTGGCCACCAAGCCAAAATGGCCGCCAACAGGAAGCCAAGATGGCCGTCTGCCAACCAAGCCAAGATGGCCACCAACAGGAAGCCGAGATGGCCAACAACAGGAAGCCAAGATGGCCGACTGTCCACCAAGCGAAGATGGCCGCCAATAGGAAGCCAAGATGGCCAACAACAGGAAGCCAAGATGGCCGACTGTCCACCAAGCGAAGATGGCCGCCAACAGGAAGCCAAGATGGCCATCTGCCCACCAAGTCAAGATGGCCACCAACAGGAAGCCAAGATGGCCGACAATAGGAAAACAAGATGGCGTGCTCAGCCTGCGCCGTGCCAGCACCACGCTGCCAAAACCGGGGAGAAAACGGGGGGGAAAGTGGGAAAAAATGAGAGGAAATTAAGCAAGATGGCCATTAACGCGAAATCCAAGATGGCCGACTGCCCACCAAGCCAAAATGGCCACCCACAGGAAGAAAAGATGGTCGTCAACAGGAAGCCAAGATGGCCACCAACAGGAAGCCAAGATGGCCGCCAACAGGAAGCCAAGATGGCCGTCTGCCAACCAGGCCAAGATGGCCGCCAACAGGAAGACAGGATGGCTGCCAAACGGAAGACAGGATGGCCGCCTGCCCACCAAGCCAAGATGGCCGCCAACAGGAAAGCAAGATAGCCACCTGCCCACCAAGTCAAGATGGCCACTAACAGGAAGCCAAGATGGCCGACAATAGGAAAACAAGATGGCGTGCTCAGCCTGCGCCGTGCCAGCACCACGCTGCCAAAACCGGGGAGAAAACGGGGGGAAAGTGGAAAAAAATGAGAGGAATGTAGGCAAGATGGCCGCCAATAGGAAGCCAAGATGGCCGTCTGCCAACCAGGCCAAAATGGCCGCCAACAGGAAGCCAAGATGGCCAACAACCGGAAAACAAGATGCCTGCCAACAGGCCAAGATGGCCACCAACAGGAAGCCAAGATGGCCGACTGTCCACCAAGCCAAGATGGCCGCCAACAGGAAGCCAAGATGGCCGCCTGCCCACCAAGCCAAGATGGCTGCCAACAGGAAGCCAAGATGGCTGCCACTATCAGGGCAAGACGGCTGACAACAGCAAACCAAGATGGCAGCCAGCCCACTAAGCCAAAATGGCCACCAGTAGGAAACCAAGATGGCCGCCTGACCGCCATGCCAACATGGCTGACAACAGGAAGCCAAGATGGCCACCAACAAGAAACCAAGATGGCCGCCACCAGGAAACCAAGATGGCTGCCAGCCCACCAAGCCAAGATGGCCACCAGTAGGAAACCAAGATGGCCGCTTGACCGCCATGCCAAGATGGCTGCCAACAGGAAGCCAAGATGGCTGCCAACAGGAAACAAAGACGGCTGCCATCCCACAAAACCAAGATGGCTGCCACCTGGAAACCAAGATGGCTACCCCCATACAACAAAAACAAGATGGCTGCTCCCATACGGCAAGATGGCAGCCCCCTGCAAACCAAGATGTCTGCCCCCATAGGACAAGAACCAGATGACTGCACCCTCCAAACTAAGATGGCTGCCCCCATAGGGCAAGATGGCAGCCCCCTGCAAACCAAAATGGCTGTCCCCATAAAGGAAGAACAAGATGGCTGCACCTTCCAAACCAAGACGGCTGCCCCCGTAAGGAAACAGCAAGATGGCTGCACCCTGCAAACCAAGATGGCTGCCCCCATAGGGCAATACCAAGATGGCTGCCCTCATAGAGCAAGATAGCAGCCCTCTGCAAACCAAGATGGCCGCCCCCATAGGGCAAGAGCAAGATGGCTGCACCCTCCAAACCAAGATGGCTGCTCCCATAAGGCAAGAACAAGATGGCTGCACCCTGCAAACCAAGATGGCTGCCCCCATAGGGCAATACCACGATGGTTGCCCTCATAGAGCAAGATAGCAGCCCTCTGCAAACCAAGATGGCCGCCCCCATAGGGCAAGACCAAGATGGCTGCACCCTCCAAACCAAGA